GTGGGGGAGGGAGGGGAAAAAAGAGGAGCGGATACCAAGAACTCAAGTAGAAAGAAAATGTTTTGAAAAGGATGATGGCAACCTATGTACAAATGCACTTGATACAATGGATGCATGGATTGTGATAAGAGCTGTAAGAGCCCCCAATAAAATAATGTATAAAAAAAGAAAAGAAAGAAAGGCCTGATGAACTACTTTTGAAAACCGGGTCACGGGACCCCTGTGGAGCACAGTCGACTCTGATACACACTGGGTCACCAGTAGACTGGGGTCACCCCTGGCAACCAGTTGGTCCCTGGATCCCAGAGACCCTTGACAACAGCTGGGAGATACCTGCCCCTCATAAGTGGGGAGGTGCTACTGACCTCTAGTAGCTGGAGGTCAGGGAGGCTGCTAAGTAGCCTACGGTGAGGCTGGAGAGCCCCAAGAATAGTCATCCAAAGACAGCGAAGAATAGTCATCCAAACTATCACCAGTGCCGAGGCTGGGAAGGCCTGATCTGTGGGAGGCAGTATCAGAGTGGACAGAGAGGACAGCATGGCGATGAGGTACGTGGTCAGGCAGAGACAGGGAATCCCAGGGGCCTTCAGTTTCTACAGCAAAGTCAACACCGGCAGTTTCACCAAGAATCATTTTGCTTTTTGCTGCAGCTGTTTCAACGTTTAGTAAAAGGTACCTTGGAAACACCTGAGACGATGGCCCCGAGACACCTTTCAAACCTGGAATCAAACCTCTTCCAGTCCCCTACCTCCCAGGGATCAACAATCACCTTTCAAGAAGCCCAACACGAGACAGGCCTAGAACTGACACCAGTGGGAACGTGCTCTTCAGCACAATAACTTGAGGGACCCAAAGGGCAGCCCTTGCCCCAAGCCAAGGCTCAGGAGGCAGGAGAGGTAGAAAAGCGGGGAGAATGGGAGCAGGGGACCCCAGGAGGAAGAGGGGAGATTGTCTTTTCATGGACAGGCATGACACCAAGTACGTATCGATCGTTGATTGGGGAACTGATGTGCTCTGTACACGCATCCTCCACCCTCAACAAAAGGTTCAAAGCAAACAAATGTCCAAAGAGATGAACGAAACTGACTTAAGGGTGGGGTGCGGCGGGGAGTCCCTCTCCTCATGGTTCCTGATTTCTGGGGGCAGCAAGCCAGGCTAGCTGCATCCGAGCAGCCCCCAAGCTCGGGCCATCTGCTGTCTCCAGAAGGCTGGAAACCACCTGGCTCATTTTGACAATTTCAAGGGCAGAAAGCACCCGCCAAAGTCCGGCTCTCCGTTATGCCGCTGGGTTTTGGTGTAGAAGGATCTTCCTGGGAAATGGGCAACCACGGTTGTGGAAGTGTACACGTTCGCATGCTCTCTCTTCCTCTCCTCACCGCTCAGAATGATACCAAGGTCCAGCCCTCGCAGACACAGGTGCGGCATCAAAGCCAACATGAGCACACACGTCCATGGGCAAGAGAGTGTTCCCAAAGCTGCAGGCTTCCGTGGGGGATGCTGCAGCTTCCCCAAACTCACATCTCCCCGTCTGCTAGCCAGAATCTCAGCACCTAGGAGGTTTTTCTTTGAATAAACGGGGTGGTGGGGGGCAGGAAGTCAGTGGGGGGAAAAAGTATAAGAATAGTCATGATAATGAGTGTTTTTCATGCAAGTGACACTGAGCTAGTGTCTTTATACATACACTTCTTTGAATCTTCAACGACAACTCTATGATTTAGATACCAAGGGAATCTTGTATGTCACCAAGGATCTAAGGGAAGGTCAGAGAAGGTTCAAGACCTTAGCTCTACAGTTTTCTAAATCCTCCCAAGGTAGCGCTTACTGCACAAAACACCCAGTTCTCTCATAGCATCTCCTCTGATGCCATGTCCCAAGCTTCTGTGTGAATTTTAATGTAGACATTCCCCATGTGCTATGATCATAATTATTCATGGAAATGCCCTTCTAAGGAAGGAAAGTTCAAAAGAGCCTGGCAGAAGACAATGAATAAGAGACGGGCTAGAGATTCTTTCAGTAGAACTAAAACAGAACCTTCCAATTGTTGGTCTCAAATAAGAGTCAGCAAACTGGCCCATGGACCACATCCAGCCTGCCACTTGTTCTTTTTTTTAGAACATTAAAGCTTATTTAATTCTTAAAATAATTTGCTTTCTGGTTATAGTTACTTTTAACCACTCACTGTATATTCTTCCATGTTTTTCTTATATATCAATACATATGTATAGAAACTTATATCATATTGCATAAATGATGGAATTTTATACATAATGTTGAAAATTTGCTTTTATAACTTGGTAATATTAGACATTCTTCAACATCACCATGTTGTCACTTATTCTTATAAATAAAATTTTATTGGGACACACATACACACACACAAGAGGGGGGAAATGACGAGAGTTCCTTAACATAAGCAACCATGATCGCAAACATCTCTGAAGGAGCTAAACTACGTGGAAGTGATTTTAAGGAGCACTGAGGTAAGCACTGTTGGTTTAATCTGATCAGTATATCCTGCAAAAGGTGGAAACTGCCCCCCAACCCCCCCACCCCGTAAGGCAGAAACCTGTCAGAGATGGAAAACACAGGTATTCCCCCCAGAATGAGCTCTAGAAAGGGCAGAGACTGCACTTCTAAAGGCAGAACACTCCCCATCCCCAGGACACAGGCGTTCCTGTTTTCCCAGATATGCACATTTCCACGGGAACCAGCTCGTGGCCTTAAACCTTCCTCCAACGCCTGGATCTGGGTCTTGGGGGAGGGTAGGTTTGAGACAGGCTCGGGGCACCTTCCCAACCTCTCCTTCACCTGTTCCAGAAACGTGAGAGAGTCGCCTCCTTTCCCTGTGGGGCTGACCCTCGGGCAAAACCCAATCTCAACCCAAACCCTGCAAAGTCTGACTCACAGCGACACCATGACTGACAGAGGAGAACTGCCCTTCAGGGCTTTCTTGGCGGCTTTGTGGAAGATGATCACCAGGCTGGGGGTGGGGCGGGGTGGGTGGGTTGAACCACCAACCTGTAGGTTAGTGTCCGAGTGAGAACCTCTGGGCACCCAGGAGACTCTCAGACAGGTAGGCCATGAAGGAGGCTTCTCCACGGATGGTCCAGCAGCCAGGACTCGGGCTCTCAGGTACAGAGATGCAGAGGGTAAGCTCGCGAGCCCGAACCAGCCTGCTCGCCCCAACTGGGCAACCTAGCCCACCAACAGGGCTCCTTTTCTTTCTGTCTCCAGTGTCATTTTTGTGGAGGGCAGCCAATGCACACTGGTGACAGGGCAAGAGGCTTTGTTCGGAAGGTCTTTGTTGTGGATGGCGGAACCCTCCTGAACAACTCTACACTCCTTCCTGCAGCTCAGGGGGCTGTGTGAGGGAAGGAGGGGTCGTGACGTGATGATGCTGGTCAAATACTAATGAGAACATCTGCTACACTGGGAACTGATCGGGGCCAGGCCTGGGGCTAAACACTCTACATACAAGGAAGGAGGAGACTGTGAGGTTAGGTACACCCTCTTCAGCTACTGTACTCGCTGGTCGGCACCCTTGCGGGCTGAGAGGGTAGAGGAGAGGTAGGGATGTCGGGGAGGTGGGTGGTTGCCGGCAGAGTCTGAGGTTTAAATGCGGTCCCAGGCAAGGCAGCGCCAAGGGCGCTCAGCTAACTTGAGCTGGGGTGGGGAGGCCTCAGGAGATGGGCCATGGCTTCCTGCTGCCAAGGGAACCTGGTGGCTTGGGTGACTCGTTGGGTGCATCAAAGGAGATGCCATTGTGTGGCTATCTTAAGCTAGCAAAGCAGGGCAGACCAGTTTGAGCCATCTGAACGAGTTGTGTAGCCACCATCGCCCCCTGCAGCGGGCGAGGCAGTGCTCAGCTGGATCCCCCACTTCATCTCATTCACCACCCTCCAGCCTGGTCCCCTTGGCAAACTTCTAACACCCAAACACCAAACTCACTGCCATCAAGTTGGCGCCGATTCATGGAGACCCTCTGGGACAGGGTAGAATTGCTCCTGTGAGTTTCAAAGCCTGGGGGTAGAAAGCCCCTATCTTGCTCCCAGGGTGCAGCTGGTGGTTTCAAACAGCTGACCTTGCAGTCAGCAGCCCCACTCGTAAGCCCTACAGAGACACCAGGCCGGCCCACAGAGAGATGGGCGCATGTACTGTTTGTCGGAGGGGCCAGTTCCCTTGCCTCGAGTCAGAACACCGAGATGCAACACGGGGTCAGGCTAAAGCTACAACTGAAGGCCACACGCTTGCTTGGCTCCTTCCCCTCCCCTGATATCTCCTGGCCCTCACCAGCCTCCCCTGGGAGCACACCTCTACTACAGCTGTGGGTGTGCCTGGAGGCTCCCGTTCAAGCAGGCTCCGCGTTCAAGGACTGCCTTTGTAGCGTGTGCACCGAGCACAGCTGTCCCACAGGGTTGCCAAGGCTGCGACCGTTTGGGCACCCATGGTCAGGGCTGTCTTCTGAGAAGCCTCTCGGTGGGTTTCCATGGCTCACCTTTGATTCCCGTAAAGAGTTACAATCTTAGAAACCTACAGGGGCAGCTGCACTCTGTCCTATGGGTCAGAAACTACTCTGTATCGGCAAGTCTGAGTTTTATAGCTAGTAGCTGAGAGAGAGAGTAACTGCCTGCTACCCTTAGATCCTCATGCCAGGCCCCATTTCTGGGGAAATCAACCTCAGGCCCTTTCTGAGATGCTGCCGTGGTGAAATGTGTGTGGTGTATGTGTGTGTGTGTGTGTGTGTGTGTGTGTGTGAGCTGCCACTGGGTTTGCCTCTTCTCGCACATTCCCCCTAGACAGGGCACCTCCACCACTGACATGCTGCCGTGGTGAAATGTGGTGTGTGTGTGTGTGTGTGTGTGTGTGTG